CAGACAAATGCCTGGTTTCCTATTCCATCAGAATCTTTGAGGGGATTTTCTACATTTTCAACAAACTCGTCAGATGATTCTAAAGTATTGTAAGGAGTGAGAAATAATGGTGTAAAGGATATGGTCTATATCAAAGTGGAAAGCACAGACATTTATGAAACTGAAGAGTAATTGCAAGGTCCTGGTCAGATGTTATCTCCCTCTAGATAGTGTCCCGACCTCTATTCCTCATCCTTATCAGTAGTCCGTACAATAAAAAATGAGCATCTTCATAAAAATATATATTATGTTTATAAAGTCAATTTCAATAGAATGTAAGTACACTTTTATGGGAAGTTTGGTTTGGAATGTTACCATGAAAATAGTAATAATAAAAATAATAAATCCAAGGAAAATATAAACAAATGCATGACAGTATGTGTACAAAAAGTAAAAGTAACCAGAATTCTTTATTTCAAACTTTTATGTATACTTCTCTGTATTTCCTAATTTTTCTGAAATGAGAAAAAAAGCAGTGCAAATCCAACTCATTGGAACTATAATTGATCATTAGGACTCTAATTGATCACTTTTATAATTGATAATATGGCTGGTAGTTGCAGAACTTCCTAAAACACTACATGGTAAAATTTTTAAGTTACAAAAGTTTTCATCAACATCACTTGATGAATGTCAAATGAAGTGGATTGGTCACCAATAAGATACTTCAGGGCAGATAATAAAGCCAATTTAACCAGCACTTGAGTGCTCTCCACATACATAAGTTTTATTCTAGGGACTATGTTATAACAAAAAATGGAGAAGATTCTTAGTAGAAAACAACCAAACAATAATGTTAAAGCAACTTATGAACAAATACATGATGGTATAGCCTAGATTCTAGATTGTGTCTAATGTCTGGTTTAACAGTCCTAAAGCATCTTTGGAAACCGTGGTGGTGTGGTGGTTAAGAGCTACAGCTGCTAACCAAAAGGTCAGCAGTTTGAATCTACCAGGCACTCCTTGGAAGCCCTATGGGGCAGTTCTACTCTGTCCTTTAGGGTTGCTATGAGTCAGAATCGACTTGACAGCAACGGGTTTGTTTTTTGGTTAAAGCATCTTTATCCCATACCAATTCTAGTCGAGAGCAAGATCAACAAGCAGCTCTTTCGTGTTGCATTGATGTGAGATAGGCATATGCATAAAATAGAAGACTTACAGGCAGTTCTGAAATAGCTCATCAATTAATGTGTGATGGCTGTGGCCCAGGGCAACCAAGAATGTACTGGCTCTTTTTAACAGAAAATATCTATCAAGCACTGATGATTGCCATGCGTCTAACTGACCACAGGGCTCAGAGGCAAAACTGAAAACAGTAAACCAGTTCTGCAGTTAGTTGCTATGTTCAGGCAGTTAGGATCTTGGCTGGCTTCTAGTAGGAGGTCAATAAATGTTCCTTGTTGAATAGTCATTCATTTGGCAAAAGCTGTTGATGTTACCTTTATTAACCCATCCCTTTCCCTACCCTTTTCTCTTCATTTTCTCTGCTACATACAGCACATGGAGAGAATAATCACCATCCGCAGTGTCATCTTTGAATTAAATATAAAATATGTATTTTGATGCCAAACAGTTAAAAATACAAAGGTAACTAACTAAACAATGCAAAACCTAAACTAAAATGTGCACTTAGCTAGAGGCCCGTCTAAAAAGAAGAAGGAAAGAAAAGCAATTTGGGTTTAAGCAAGAAGCGATTTTTATGCTGTTTTTATATATAATATTTTCAGCTTTGTCTTTATGAAGCTTAGAGAAATTTGCTAAAGGCATATTAAAATGCGGCTAGCTGGTTAACTCACAAGTCAAGTCTTGTAGGTGTAGACCATTATTATTATAATTATTACAGTTAATAATTATTATAATAAACATTTAGGTGGCACTGTACATTACCAAAGTGCTCTTGGCTCTTGTTTTGATGATACTAAATCAGTCAAAGCAAAAAGCATTATCATTTTTATTCACTAATGAGAATGAAGTTTAACTGTTTTGTATAACCTACAAAGAAAAAGACAGATGGACTAAAAGTTTAAATATCTGGTATAAATTTTAACATATTCAACTGGATAATTTAACTAGGAGCACCATGATGCTACATACATTAAAAAAAATCATTAAAATAATGTGATTTTAGTTTGAATTTTGCTTATAGTTATAAAATATACCAACATAAAAAGTCTTTATCAGTGCTTCCACAACTTTTTGATGATATGAATCACAAGAATGTTGGTTAAAAATACAGTTTCTTAGTTCTCAAGCCTTGGAGCTTCTGATTCAGCAGGTCTGGGATGTTTAGCCAATATATATCATAAGAAATTTTTATAATTAGGGAAATTTGGGAAACAGTAGTTCTTATGAACCAGTATTCAACTCCAAGACCCCACAGGAACTTGGAACATAAAAACTTTACTTGTGTAATCTGTCAGACATTGGGCTGTAGACTTTCCATATCCTCTTTTGATCTTTACAATTTGTTACTGTAATTATTGAAATAGAGAGGTGTTACCTTTTCTAGGAATCAAACTCTGAAAGGTTGAACGACTAGACCAAGGTCACAAAGCTATTAAATAGTTGAAACAGCATTTGAAATCAGGTCTACCTGGCTCCAAAGGCTATGCTCAATCAGTATACTGTCTGTCTTTTCTTCTGTGCATTGCCCAGTCTTGCATCTCAGAAAAGAAAGATCTGAGAGAAAGAAGGAAGCAGAATTCTAGTAAGTACACTTCAGCTTTTCAAGAGATTATTGACTATACATAGTAAGTTAGAAAGTTAAATCCACCTTAAAATTTCCAGTTGAGAGACAAAATTGTTGGGAAAAAAAGAATCATATAGAAGTCCCAAGAGAAGACCACAAAACAGATTGAAGATTATAGTTGATTTCCATATGAATGTGAAGGTAGATGTGATTTTGTTAGGAAATATGGAGCCCTTTTTGATTGAGGAAGTGGAGGAAAGAGTAGTCATGATACTTGAAGGGATCTGGTTTATTAGTTCTCTGAAGCTGGCAATTTAAACTATAAGAAAAGTGTTCTTTTCTGGCGGGTGCAGCTCTTAATCTTGACTGAAGGATACTAACGCAAAAGTACACACAGTACCTCCAACCTCTTGTTCTATTGAGAAGGGAGATTCTTCAAAGTCTCTTGATAAGCAAGCCTAGTTGTAAGAATCAGGTTGTCTTGTACAAATGCAAGAAATAATTGACCTGAGTTGAGCTAGGTTCTTCGGAGAACACAAGCTGAGTTGGGCTAGTTTTTGCGCCAAATACGAGCTTTAATGCTACCTTGAAAGGCCCAGTAAACAAAATCTTCAGGCCTTTGATGCAAAAATGAGACAGTCCGTGGCAAGAAAAGGTGGAATATGTCAGTAAGTTGCTATTTAAATTAATGGCCCTGCCCCTTTCAGTTTGTGGTATTGGTCTGAATGTAGACAATGGTGATTATTTTTCAGTTTTATTACAGGATGTGACTTCTTCCTTGGCTTTTAAAAAATTTTGTTTCCTTAGTTTCTTTGTATCAATGTGTCATAATATTGTTGTTTTACAACTATGAGGGAAGATGGTCTTGGAAAGAGACTAGTGTGTGTGTGGAGGTGGGGTGAGGAGCATTGTATGTGTGTAATTTATAGCAAAGGGGAGACCAAAGCTGGGTAATGAATTTAGTTCAGGGGAGCTTCCAAAAAGGTAACAGATCCATCAACCAGTAAGAGGAAGGTTGCAGGTATATGGCTGTATAATGAGAAGGCCGTTATAAAAATTAGATAGGCTAGAAGGGCCTGGCTGTAAAGCAACATCAAACACCATGTTAATTCCAATCCTTCTGATATAGATGGAAGAGGCCAGAAATAAACAAAAGAACTTTGTGTTAGAAAAGCCAATGAGTCATGTAAATAATATCTCACAGGAGATGTTTAAACACTTGGAGAAAAATGGTTTTCAATCGCTTTTGAAGCACAATTTGCGTACAACAAAGCACCCCTAGTAGTGATTACAAATCATTCTAGGTCCTAAAGCACTAGGATATATCACTACTTGGTAGCCTTGACAGTGCTGGGTGATCTCTGACCTGTGGGCTGTGTCTGGCGATTACCTTGATTTTATCTGGCCCAAGATAATATTATTTTGGTCACTGCCACAGTAGCTCAAAGACATGTTTACTTTGGTGGGTTGATTTGACTATCAGTGTCTTGGAAGAAAGGCTGAAAGTCAAGAGAAATTGCTACTGGAGAGTGGTAAAACAGCCTACAGCTCAAGTAAACTGTAAGGTAGAAATAGAATAATTTATCTGATATCCACCAGTGTGTCTCTCTTGATGTTTTGCTTTCCCTTTCTCCTCCTCTTTTATGGCCTATTTTTCTGTTTCTTTGATACATACATTTTTCTGTCTCTTTTTCTCCTGTTTTTCTTTCTTTCCTCTTTTAGCAGTTCTTTTTTTCCTCCCTTTTTGTCTCTTTCTTTAACTTTCTTTTATCTCTTCTCCTCCTTACCCACCTCCACTCTCACCTCCATTCTTAAAACGATGATATGGAATTTAATAAAGCATGTTTTAGATACTCATATTGGCAGAAAATAATTTTGTTTGCAGTTCATAATTTTTAAAGCTATATGATTATAAGTTTGTATATGTCTTTCTTAAAAGAAAATTTCCACAACGAAACAAGTTAAATTACTTTTTTTCTGAAAGGATCATTGTATTTTTCTACAGGTCAGTGGGCCTTAATGGACAAAATATTTCTCACAAAGACCTTGTTGTTGATACTCTATGAAGTTGAGATATTTTTAATCATAATTTTTAAAATAAATATCTTATAACTCCTTTTTGAACAAACTCTTAGTACTACCATTTGGTGGCATTGAGTTGTATAAATATACTGGCTATATTAACTTAAGTACAATTATCTCGATGTATCGTAACTTATTTTAATGATTTTTGTCTATATTGAATTTATTTCATTCATACTTGACTTTTTAGCTGAAAATAGATTTTGAAGAACCAAGATGCTTAAAGAAAGAATGTAGAAGAAAAGGCCCAGTTCTCGAAGGCAGAAAACTGTACAACAAAAAGCAGTGTGATTCTTCTAGGTATTTGCTGACTTGATCCCTCATATGCCTGAGATTAGGGGCTAAACCTATTGTTCCCTGAGATCCTCCCAACTCTAACAGCTGTAAATCTAAGAACCAGGAGCTGAAGGGGGAAAAAAAAAACCTTTACTCTTTAGTATGTCTCTGTCTAAGAAACATTTTCCAGCTAGATTGTAATATTTCTTCATGCTGTGTCACAGTCTATCTACATGCCAAGTGGAGAATGTAGTTGGAAATGTTTTTTGGCCAAATATAACTCTGTTCTGGGAAACGACTTTCCCTACCAACCACAGCTATCCAGACACATCTTGGAATGTAGTATAGGTGTGCAAGGAATGCCCACCATAGTCCCTTGAGTCTCTGAATCAACGTTTAGGAAAAATTGCAAATTGGTTACAAAAGCACCTGGGATTAGCATGGGTGTCTGCCTCTTTTTCTTGCAGGTCCCTGTCCTTGCCAACCTGTTGGATGTGCAGTGTGGGAGAGAAGAATGGAAGAATTTTGTAATAACAAAATGAGTTAACCTTTTAGACATCTCCACATGACTGTCTCATAGGTCTATCACACTTAAAATACCCAAATCGAAACCAAGTCCCCCACTTCTAGCTCAGTTGTCATAACATAGTTCATAAAGAAAATGTTCTATATCCAACTGTGGTGAGTAGCATCTAGGGTCTTAAAAGCCTACGAGCAGCCATCTAAGATACATCTACTGATCCCCTTCTGGCTGGAGCAAAGGAGAATGAAGAAAACCAAAGACACAAGGAAAAAATTAGTCCAGAGGACCAATGGACCACAACTACCACAACCTCCACCAGACTGAGCCCAGAACAACTAGATGGTGCCCGGCTACCACCACCAACTTCTCTGAGAGGCATCGTAGGGTTCCAGACAGAGCAGGAGAAAAATGTAGAACAAAATTCAAATTCACAAAAAAGAGACCAGACTTACTGGTCTGACAGAGACTGGAGAAACCCCAAGAGTATGGCCCCCAGATACCCTTTTAATGAAGTACTGAAGTCATTCCCAAGGTTTATCCTTCCGCCAAAGATTAGACAGGTCTATAGGGCAAACAATAACACGCATGAGGAATGTGCTTCATAGTTCAACAACGTATACGAGACTAAATGGGCACACCAGCCCAAAAGCAAAGACAAGAAAGCAGGAAGGGACAGAAAAATTGGACGAATGGAAACCGGGAACCAAGGGTGGAGAAGGGGAGAGTGTTGACACATTGCGGGGCTGGCAACCAATGTCACAAAACAATTTGTGTATTAATTGTTTAATGAGAAACTGATTTGCTCTGTAAACTGTCACCTAAAGCACACACACACAAAAATTTAAAAAAAGAAAAAAACTAAGTCCCCCAAACATGTTCTACCTTCACCCTTTCCTATCTCCATAAATGGTACCACCATACCCCTAGGAATTCAAGCCCAAACCTGGGACTTAGTTTTTCTATACCTCACTTCCAAAATTTAATGCATCATTAAATCCTAGAGACTATTCCTTCAAAATAAATCCTGAATTTCACCATCACCACCGTTATCATCCTACTCCAAGGTGCCATCATCATCCATCTGGACTACTGTAATAGCCTACTACCTGTTTTCATCCTCCATCCTCAATTTCTTAAAAACCTATATCAGTCCATATTTCTTCCCTACTTTAATCCAACTCCATCCATGGCATCCTATTATAACTAGAATTTAGTCAACTGCCTTACCATACCCTGTAAGACTCTACATGATCTGGCCTCTGCCACCGCTACAATCTCACCTCCTACCTATACCCACTTGTTCAACTCACCCCAACCACACTGTACTTTTCTCCTGCCCCATGAACCTGCACATCAAGCTCCTTTGCACGCAGGGCCTTTGGATTGCTGTTCCCTCTGCCTGATATACTTTCCTCCAGGCCTTCTCATAGCTGTCTCCTTTTCATCTGTCAGGTCTCAGGCCAGTTATCACCTCCTCAGAGAGACCTCTGCACCTCCCCTTTCCTTATTCAGTACAAGTTTTTAGGGATTTTACTTTTTTAATTATATGTATCTATTACTTTGATTTTTTAAATTAAGGTAAAAATAAACATAAACAAAATAGCCCTTCTATCACTGTCATATCACATTGTTTTGTTTTCTTGATGGCAGTGATCATTATCTCAGATTATTTTCTTTATGTGTATACTTGTTTATTGTTTCTCACTACAATGTACACTCTATGAAATGGGATTTGTTTCAAAGATCCCATGTCTACCACGTTAACCAGTGTATCTCAGCACCTAAAACGTCCTTAGAACATAGCAGATTTTCAGTAAATATTTGTTAAATGAATGGATTTTAGTTGCCTAAGGGAGAAGCAGTGTCCTTTTAGCTGAGAATAGTCACATGCATTTACTTGAAAACAGTGTTTTAATGAAATATTTGGTTCAGTATTAAGACACTACTGCCAATGACCATGCACATGGAAGGGTTCCTTGCTAGAAAAGAGAAATTGTCGACATGCATATAGAGCTTATAACACAGAGGGCAAATGAATTAGTGTCTAAATCCATTTTAGCAGGCTAGTGGTAAAGTTCACATCAAAGTAAAAATTGAAAAGCAAACTAATGTTGATTTGGATCTGAAAGCTAATGAGTTCTGCTTTCTGGGCAGTGGCAAACTGATGGCAGAGGTGAAACCAGAATATGAGAATTCTACAGGCTGGTTTGTAACACAGTAAAAATGAAAAAGTAAGAGGTAAGGACAGTTGCCTAGAGACTACAAATAGGTTATGAGGAAGTGGTTTAAAATTAGGGCCTTGAAAAGTAATTGTTGTTGTCAAGTCATTTCCAACTCATGGCAATCCCTTGTACAGCAGAGTGAAACGTAGCCCATTCCTGCACTGTCTTCACAATTGTTGGTGTGCTCAAGTCCATTGTTGCAGCCACTGTGTATTTTGAGTGCCTTTCAACCTAGGGAGCTCATCTTCCAGCACAATATCAGACAATATTCTCTTATGATCTGTAAGGTTTTCATTGGCTAATTTTCAGAAGTAGATCACCAGGCCTTTCTGTCTAGTCTGTCTTAGTCTAGAAGCTCCACTGAAACCTGTTCACCATGGGTGAGCCAGACTTGTATATGATGCTTCCAGCATCATAGCAACACACCAGCCACCCCAGAACAACAAACTGACAGATGGGTGGTGGTACAAAATAATAGCTCTCATTTATCAAGTGCCTATTATTGGCCAGGCCGTTATCTAAAATCCTTACAGAAACTCCTTAAGTAGTTACTACTTTCCCATTTTACAGATGAGTAACTGGAGCTCAAGAGTTTAGATGACTTGCCAAGGCCACATAGCTATGTTAAGGTGGAGTAGTGATTTAAAAAGATTTTTCAAATCACAAAACTGACATGCTTCCCACTGCACCACACACTGTCTTCGTCATTGTGCACTCTATTTATTTTTGTGATTCCTGGCACCAGTTTTAGGGCCTGGCACAGCATCCTAATGGAACCATGCCTAGCTGGACACTAAGCTCCTCTGCTGCCAGTGGAGGGGCAGCCTAAGAGAAATGTCTGAGCAGAACTGGGCCCAAGGTTTGCTGACTAAGCATGTTTCAAGCCTTCTGTTCATGCCTCTTCCTGCTTACTCTGTTTCCCAGCATTCCCCTGCAACTCACCTCTACCTCGGTCCACTGGGGAGAGCATCTTCCAGGTGCTAATAAGAAAGCTCCTCTGGTCATCACATGAGGGGAAGAGGCAGCTCAGCAAAATCACTGCTGAGGGCCTGGCAGGCTTAGGCAATGTGATCTGAAAAGCTGAAGTGTGCATCCTACAGAGAGAAAGAATTGGTTGGAATGCAAATTGAAGGAGGACAAGCGTAAGAGGAAAATCTTCATGACAGAGATGAATTGGCTACAGGACTACTCCCCAGGGAAAGGGATGCAGCAACATTCCCTGAGACTTCTGTGAGCAGAAACCATGCTATAGAGAACAAGCTTAGGGAGAGAACATCAATGACTAATACGTGCTTTCCACCTCTGAGTTTTATGAAGATGAATGAAGCATTTTTGAATAGAGGAAGAAATTTTTTTTAATAAAATGAAAATGGAGAGATGGAGCTGACTAAGGTACTGCAAAGATAAAGAGGAACAAAGGTAAGGGAGGCTTTCACCCTCATACTAAGTGAGGAAAGTAATTTCTTCTGACTGGAGGAAGCACAGCAGCAGCTCAGTTTTGAATCCAGAGTTCAGGTTCTGCCGCTTACCAGTTGTACGAACCTACACAAATTACTTAGCCTTTCTAAGCTATAAAATAGGAGTAATACTCGATTTTATAAGGTATCTCTTACTATCGAACAGAGATAACACCATTGAAAAGTATTGTTGTGAGGACTGACTTAAAAACTCATGTGAAAACAGTGTTTGACACATAGGAAGCACTCAATAAATGACAGTAATTATTATCAGATCATGGCTTTGTGTGCAACAGGAAATATAGCTGGGTCATCATTATCCAAGTCAGATTATAGGGACAGTTCTTCCCTTTAAGCTTAATGATGATGCCCCCTTGGTTTAATTATTTGCTGTATTGCTAGTTCACACCCTTTCTACTGACTTGACTTTTAGCTCACAGGGAAAATGGAACCCAAATATGATAGATACCACCTCTACCCTTGGGCAAGCTTGCCAAAGGGCAGCTCAGCCCATGTTGTAATCCAAAACCATGTACCCATGGAAGGATGCTTTGCTTTGGAGATAATATTAATGGCACTGTACATTTATTTAGCCTTTTTTTCCCCACTTCTTAAATTTTTCTCCCATACAAAAGTTTATACATACATTGTTATGTGACTCTAATTGTTCTCCCCATACTGTGACAGCACACTCCTCCTTTCCACCTCTGATTCCCCATGTCCATTCAACCAGCTCCTAACCCTCTCTGTCTTCCCATCTCACCTCCGGACAGAAGCTGCCCGTTTAGTCTTTTGTATCTACTTGAGCTAAGAGGCACACTCCTCACAAGTATCACTTCATGTCCCACAGTCCACTCCAATCCCTGCCTGAAGAGTTGGCCTCGGAAATTGTTTTAGTTCTGGGCTGATAGACAATCCAGGAGCTATGCTTTCCGGGGTACCTCCAGTCTCAGTCAGACCATTAAGTCTGGTCTTCTTACTAGAATTTGAGTTCTGCACCCCACCTTTCTCCTGCTCCATCAGGGACTCTGTTGTGTTCCCTGTCAGGGTGGTCATTGGTGCTAGCTGGGCACCATCTAGCTGTTCTGGTCTCAGGCTGATGAAGTCTCTGGTTTATGTGGCCCTTTCTGTCTCTTGGGCTACTACTTTCCTTGTGTCTTTGGTGTTCTTCCTTTACTCCAGGTGATTGGGACCAATTAATGCATCTTAGATGGCCGCTTGCAAGCTTTTAAGACCCCAGATGCTAGTCACCAAAGTAGGATGCAGAGCATTTTCTTAATAAGCTTTGTTATGCCAGTTGACCTAGATGTCCCCTGAAAGCATGCTCCCCAGACCTCTACCCCTGCTACTCTATCCCTCAAAGTGTTTGATTGTATTCAGGAAACTTCTTAGCTTTGGTTTAGTCCAGTTGTGCTGACTTCCCCTGTAGTGTGTGCCGTCCTTCCTTCCGTTCACCTAAGATAATTCTTATCTACTATCTAGTTGGTAAATAACCCTCACCCTCCCTCCCCACCCTTGTAACCATCAAAGAATGTTTTCTTCTGTGT